TTAAATGGAAATAAAGGAGAGAGAAGAGACAGAGTACTACGAAATTTGGAATTTGTGATTATAATTGTTTGCAAAGTAGACACAAAATAGAGAGATGAAATGAAAGGTTATGGTGTGATGCTATGTATACTTATGTATAAATATGTAAATAATCACATAAATATATGAAAATATGACACAAATCAAATGTAAAATAATTGTAATAATATTTAGTAATATTCCATATACTTAAGAATATATCAAGGTGAGTGAACACTACTACAAATATGCTGCACTGAATGGAAATATATTTAACTGTTTTTAATTGTAGAATTTGTTTAATAAAGTTTTTTAAATATTAAAAAAGATGAAAGATTGCATCTTTAGCAAGGTCATTCCCAGGCAAAGGTTTCAAAACAGACTGGGATCGATCAATCAGAATAAAGCTGGAAGAGACCTTGGAGGCCTTCTAGTGCAACCCCCTGATCAAACAGAAGACCCTATACCATTTCAGACAAGTAACTATCCAATCTCTTAAAAACTCCAGTGATGAAGCACCCACAACTTTTGAAGGCTAGCTATTCCACTGGTTCATTGTCCTCACTGTTAGGAAGTTTCTCCTTAATTCTAGATTCTTCTTTCCTTGATTAGTTTCCATCTATTATTTCTTATCCTGCCCTATGGTACTTTGGAAAATAAGTTGATTCCCTCCTCTTTGTGGCAGCCTCTCAAATACTGGAATACTGCTATCATGTCACCCCTAGTCCTTCTTTTCTCTAGACTAGCCAAACCCAAATCCTGCAACTGTGATCTTCATATGTGTTTGTCTCCAGTCCTTTAATCATCTTAGTTACTCTTCTTTGCATTTTTTTCCCAAGACTCAACATCTTTTTTGTAATGTGGTAACCAAAACTGGATGCAGTATCCCAGATGTGGCCTTACTATGGCTTTATCAATCAGTACTAATATTCATATGATTTTGATTCTGTGCTTCTGCTTATACAACCAAGAATTGCATTAGCTTCTTTGGCTGCTGCAGTATGCTGCTGACTCACGTTTAAGTGATTGTCCATTAGGACTCCAAGGTCCTGCTCTGTTACTGTTTTTTGAACCAGGTTTTGCTAATCTGTACTTGTACCTTTAGTTTTTCCTGCCTAGGTGCAAAACCTTGGTTTTCTCCACATTAAATTTCATTTTGTTGGATAGGGTCCATTGTTCAAGTCTGTCAATTGATCTTTTTGGATCTTGAGCTTGTGTTCTGGAATGTTGGCTATTCCTGCCAGTTTACTGTCATCTGCAATTTTGATGAGTTCCCCTTCTATTCCCTCATCTTAGTCATTTGTGAGATATTGAAGAGTACTGGGCCTAAGATGGAACCTTGTAGTATCCCACTACTCACATCCCTCCATGAAGTTGTAGTACCATCAAGGACTACTTGTTGAGTATGGTTTATCAGCCAATTACAAATCCATCTGGTGGTGATGCTGTTTATCCTACATTTTTCTAGCTTACCGAAAAGAAGTTATGGTCTACTTTGTCAAGTGTAGGTGGACTGGTTGCTTTCATGGTGTGGAGACAATAATGTGGTCCTTAACACCAATAAGACCAAGGAGCTTATAGTGGACTATAGAAGGAATAGATCAGACATCCAGTCCAATGGAGGCTGTGTGGAGCAAGTGGCCAGTTTCAAATTTTGAGGTGTTTATCATAAAAGAGGACCTGACCTAGAGACTCACATTGCATCACTGGTCAAAAGGGCCCAGCAGAGATTATACTACATGAGACTTCTCAGGAAACAACTGAATGAAAAACTGCTGATGACCTTCTACCACTGCACCATAGAGAGTATTTTAACTTTCTGCACCTGTGTATGGTTTGCCAATTGCACAGTGGCAGATAGAATAGCACTCCAGAGGGTTAACACCATTGCCCAGAGGATCATTGGTTGCCCTCTCCCCTCTTTGGAAAAACTTTAAAGCTCCCGCTGCCTTAAGAAAGTTCAAAACATTCTTAAAGATCCATCTCATCCTGGGCAACCTTTTCTTGAACAACTACCATCTGGCAGACAGTACAGGATAATAAAAACAAGGACAAATAGGCTGAAAAACAGCTTCTATCCCAGGGCAGTAACTATATTGAATTTTACTGTATAGTGCAATATTAATGCAATATCAGGTTCTCAGTTCAATTGGATAGATGTGTGTGTTGAGGTAATTCCCCGTTAGGAGAATGAGCGCACACAGGGAGACGTAGTGAGAGTAGTGAAGAATAATACACACACAGCACACAGATACACTGTATCGTAAAATGTAGGTTTTTTACTTCCAGTAAACGGTTAAGCAAAGTCCAAACAAGCAGTCAGTTTTCAGTCCAGGGATAATCCAATAACAAAGTCCAGTATCAAAAACAGTTCAGTAACAGACTTACATCAAATCCAAGACGAACTATGATCAGTAACACTCAATAGGAACGGTAACACTCTCCAGAACAACAGAACTGAACTGAAACAACCCAGGTTTCTGGCTCCATCTTATGGCTGTTTGAGGAACCACACCCAATTACAGTTTTAGCATTCTCTTAAAGAGACAATATTAAAATGTCTAGCCTGGTTTATATATTTTTCCAACCCAACTATTAGGTGACTTACATTCCTAACAGTGCGTTTGTGTTTTATTTTTATAGTTATAATGTACACTGAAGATGGCATTTAATTTTGTTGTACGAGGTGCAATGGCAATAAACTAAACTAAACTAAATGCCTTGCTGAAGTCTAAATATACTATGTCCACAGCATTTCGCTTATCTAGCAATTTAGTCACTTTGTCAAGGAATGAAATAAGATTGGTTTGGCATGATCTGTTTTTAAACAAACCTGTGCTGATGCCTAGTTATTTCTTTATTCGTTTCCAAATGTTTGCAGATCTAATTTTTGATTATATTTTCAAGTATCTTTCTAGGTATTGACACTAGGTTGATTGGTCTGTAGTTTCCTAGGTCTGTTTTTTTCCCTTTTTTGAAGATGGGGACCACATCAGCTCTTTTCCAATTCTCTGTTAGTTCCATGATGCTCCAAGATTTTTTAAAGATATGATAAAATGGTTCTGAGATAACATCTGCCAGCTTCTTTAGAACTCTGGGATGTAATCCATCAGGTCCTGGTGATTTATATTCATGAAGGTCAGTCAAATGTTTTCTTACCATTGTCTTGCTTATTTTAATTTTTGTTTTTAGTCTGTTTTTAATAATTATGTTTTTAGTAGTTGGGCTATACTCTCTTTTTGTGTGAAGATTGATGCAAAGAATGAGTTAAGCAGCTCTGCTTTCTCTCTACTGTCTGCTACTTCCTGGCCATCTTCTCTCTTTAGAGAACCAACTGTTCATTGACTTTTTTCTTATTATATGTTATTTATATGTCGAAAGAAACTTTTAAAAATTATATTTGACTTCTGTTGCAAGTCTTTGTTCATTCTAATGGTTTCTGCTGTTCAAACTCTTGAAGAAGTACAAGAAATGGGCAAGGTTGAGGATCGTAGATGCAGTGGTTGGACAGGAAATTAATGTAGCAGATGAAAGACATGCCATGCTTACTTTCCTTTGACATTGGAAGATGTCCAGCAGTGCCATCAGCATAGAACTGATGGAAACCAGTGTGACCCAAATACACTTATCTACTGTCTGGAGAAATTATTTTCATGGAAGAATTACAGCCAAAAAGCCATATCTTTAATGTGAAAACAAGGCTAAGTGATTCAACTACACAGTAAAACATAGGAATTAGCTTGCAAAAAAAAATGGCAAGAGGTTGTTTGGACTGAGAAGTCAACATTTGAAAGATTTGGCTGTAACTGGAGAGCAGTAAATAATGAGTTTCTGCAGGCAATAGTGTAGCATGGTTGTCAGAGTATATTCATGAACTGGAATAGAGCATGGTAACAAGGTCAGCCAATAAATAGGTATAGCAACTTAAGTTGGCCAATGAGTACTGTTTGGAAACTGAAACTAGAAGTAGCCTAGACGTGGCTCTATATTAAGCTCTGCAACTCTGAAGCTATGTTAAGCTGAGTCTGTCTATTGAAAATGAAACTTCTTCTCTCCTCTGCTGTGTATCTTGCTTGCCTGCTGAACTAAAGTGAAACTGATATCTGTTTCTGAGTTGAAGTTGAGTTGCCATTCTGCTCTGAACCTGTAACAAGTCTGCTCTTTGAGTTTGCTCCATGTTGGAAAAATCTACAACTGGTATTGTAAACTTTATGTGTTTATAAAGAAGATAAATGAAGCCTCAGTCATCTGTGTTTACTTTTCGGACACTGAATTTATGCTGCAATACTCTGAAAAACTGTGGATCCTTGAAAGCCTGTGATTGTATTTCTGCAAATGGAGTTGGAGATTTGGTCAAAATCAATGATTCCTCAATGCTGAGAAACACAGGCAGATACTTATCTATCATGCCATATTATCAGGAAGGTGTGTAATTAATCCCAAATTTATTCTGCAGCAGGACAATGGCCTCAAATATATAGCTAATGTCATTCAGAAATATCTTCAGCATAAAGAAAAACCAGATGTCCTGGAAGTGATGATTTGGCCTCCATAAGAGCCCTGAATTCAAGCCTGTTTTGGATTACATGAAGGGACAAAGGGATTTGATGCAGCCTATATCCGTAGAAGATTGTGCTTATTTCTCCAAGATGTTTGGACCTTGAAGGAACTTTGCTGAATTCCTTCAAAAACTGAGTGCAAATGTACCTAGAAAAATTGATGCTGTTTTTAAAGGAAAGGATAGTCACACCAAATGTTGGTTTGATTTAAATTTGTTTTCTGTACTTTTATTTGGGGACACTGCTACAATTTAGTAATAATGACTGAGCTGTTTCTTATATCTCAGGTGGACTAGCAGTTTCACTCTTCTATTAGTCTGTTTGCTTAATGGGACATTGGTGACACCTGAACAAAAAAACTTCATAAGCTTACAAAGAAACTAATTAAATTATACATTTAAATGTTGTTTTCATTGCAATTACCTTTAATTGCAGCTAAATATCCTCGAAGTTCTTTTTGAAGTCTGGAACCTTCTGCCTGAAATACAAAATAGAAATAAAATAAAATCCTGTAAGCAACTCAGATCCATGAAGAAAATAACTGAATTCTCATATGTGATTATTATATATATTATATGCAGTATATAGCTGAATTAATATTGCATATCAATTCAGTCAAATTTAATCTCTTAAAAAACTAAATGAAAAAGTTCTCTAGAAAGCAGCTAAAAATCCCCACATATTTACTAAGTGACTCTATTATGTAACAGACTTGAAATCAGGGCTCTATACAGTAATGCAAAACATGTTTCTACAATATACTAGGCTTCAATGCAAGTCATTTGATGTCTATGGATATTCTCAATCATCCATATCATAATTATCCCAAAGATGATTTTCAAAAGGGAAGTTAATTTTTTTCCTTGAAAACGTTTTGCTTCTCATCCAAGAAACAGAATGTTGCCTTTTGAAAAGCACCTTTGGGACAAGTCATTCGTTGTTTCTGGCTCTGCTCCTTGGAACTGTGAAGCAACTGACATGGCCGGAAGACTTAAAATGATCTGCAGAGGCCTATTGTTTACACAGGAAATGAGCAACGCACATATTAATGTACTGCACTGTATTGTACTATACTAGTGTAGGTATAGTGGTTAACAGTGCTGCAGTGAGAACAGTTCTAGTCCTTTATTAGGAATGGAAACTGGAAGTCATGCAAAAACATTAACTGTATAAAACCTGTACTCAACTTAGTTCTGAGAGGCAATTTTTCACCATATGTTTGTCCAATCTACGAGCACAATTCAGCCCCAAATTTATGTTGCTAAATGAGAAATTTGTTAAGTGAGCTTTGCCCCATTTTATGACTTTTCTTGCCATATTTGTTAACTGAATCACTGCAATTATTAAGTTAGTAACATGGTTGTTAAATGAATCTGGGTTCCCCATTGACTTTGCTTGTCAAAATGTCGCAAAAGATTACATGACCTCAGGACACTGCAACCATCATAAATATGAACCCGTTGTCTAGTATCCAAATTTAAATCACATGACCATGGGGATGCTGCAGTGGTCTTAAGTGTGAAAAATGGTCATATATCACTTCAAATGATCATTAAACTGTTGTAAGTCAAGGACTACCTGTACCATTTTCTCTCTCAGCCAATAGAAAGGCTTCATTAATCAAGTTCTATTTAAAACAAGCCCAGAAATGTTTAAAAAGGGAAAAAATAAGCATCAAAGCATGAATTAGTATAATATAATTCTGAATATATTAGGAGCAAATATTTCAAGTACACTCATGAGTATAGACCAAAAAATGACAACTTTTGAGAAAGATCATTTCTTAGTTTAACATATTTGTAATCAACAGTAAATTCAGTTGTAAGTATCTCACTCATAATTTAGTCACATTTTTTTCGTTCAGGTTTTTGAAAACTGCTCCCATAACATCAAACACAATTTTAACTTCAAACCCTTCGTTTGGTTGGATCTATTTTTTGGGTTTTATACTGAATAGATAATAAATAAAATCTACAACAAGAGAGTACAGCAAGTTCTACTTGATAGATGAATTAATTACAAATATTTGGAGTTATGTAACATTGCCCAACTTTTACTTTCAGAATATAATTAGTTACAGAAGGTAATTACTTTGCTGTAATTTAGAGCAATGCAAATTTCACTTAAGTTAAAAAGGTCTATTGTTATGTTTTTATGATCTATTTTCTAATTTAATAATCCTTAGAATTATTAATTGGCCAAATTTTGCATTGTATGTAATAATTTGTATGTAATAATTTTCTAGGCGCTCCATGACATGAGATCTAAGATTCAAAGAATGGGATCTTGCTTAGGTTTCCCAGGGAAATAACATTAGATCAGGGATCCCCAACTCCTGGTTGGAAACTGGGCCTCCAAACAGTGAGTGACCAGTGAAGTTTCATTTGTGCATCCATGAGATACAGGTTGTGTGTGTGAAACTGCTGCCAAAACCATTAAAGCCACTCCTGCTGCTTGTCTGCAAAACCAAAAATGTTGAGGATCTCTGTTTTGACAAATATTAAGCCAAGAATTTCCCCCAGGATTTCTCACTAATCATCAATGCTACATTTAAGTATGACTTGAGTGACTGTAGTTTGCATCTCTTAACATAATATTTACACTAATGCCTTGAAAAGTGGACAATAGAGGAAGCTGTTACAAAGACCAACTGAAATGCCTCAGTTGACCTGAATCAAGCAAGGAATTCTAGAAACATCAGAACAACCTAACCAGGCAGTGTCCCTAAACATTTTTTTACAAACATTCACAAATCAATTATGTTAGGTTGACTAAAGAGAAACAATTGAAATAAAATACAATTAGTACAAGCTATGAAGCAGATAGGCTCCATGACTTTTTTTTAAAGAAGAAAAGAAATCCATTAAATTAAGGTATTTGGCAGATGTGTCATCTACTGGATTAAATACAAATATCAGGCATTTTTACCAAATTCCAATATGTAATGTATTCCAGTCATGAACATTATAGCTCCGTGAGATCAATTGGAAGTTAGAAATAAAATGTAAATTTATTATATATATTGATTGATTGATTAGCCCTTGGGCCATATACAATTTAAAATGAAATTGGAATAAAATAAAATAATTTAAGTAGATAAAATATGATAAAATTATATTTTGGTATTACCCCTACCCCAATCAGTCCCACATATGCTGATCTCAACCAAATCATTTTGCTTAAGTACTGTGCTCTATTAAATGTTATTTTCAGATTCTGGCCACATATAAAGTAAGTTGTTTTGATATGATGATCCCAATGGGTCATTTGTTTGATATATAGACTGAGGTACCTGTCTCTTATACAGGTAACAATCAAATAGGATGTGAGCCAGGTTTTCTACCTCTCCCACTCCACAAATGCAGAAACATTGATTGTATGCTGTAGAATGGAACCTCCCATATATGACCATTGTGTCAAGCTGTTCGAATTTCGCTCCCATAAATATCTTCCTAAGATCTTTTGGCAATTGTAACTTCAAACAGCTATCTATTTGAAAGGTAAGTTTGTATTTGCGCAGCAGTGGTAGGATTCAATTTTTTTTACCACCAGTTCTGTGGGCATGGCTTGGTGGGCATAGCAGGGGAAGGATACTGTAAAATCTCCAGTTAGAGGTGATATTTGCCGGTTCTCCAAACTACTCAAAATTTCTGCTACTGGTTCTCCAGAACTGGACAGAACCTGCTGAATACCACATCTGTTGTGCAGCCATTTCAAGTTACCCACCTTATTAAGGATAGCTATATTATTTTGTGCTTCTGTATCCTTGATTCTTTGGGCAGCTCTTTTTTTAAATTGTTCTGTTACACAAAAGACAGGAAGGCGACAGCTTCCTAAAAAAATTGTTATTTAGTGATCCAGGAGATTTGTGATTATGATTTTATTTGCTCTAGTTGACATAACTTGGGGAGTCTATCAATCTCCATTTCACTAACTTTGTGCCAGTAGTTATATGCTCAAATTTTGGATAGTGTATGAATTGTATGAATTCCCAATTTAGTTCTAACTGCTGCAGCAGATGTTCTTAGATCTACACCCAAAATACATCTCAAATGCTGGGACTGTGTTTGTTCTAGTACTGTTGTTGAGTATAGACCACAAACGTCTGCGCCATACAAGAGCATAGGGGTAATCTTAGCTTTATATACTTTGATTAATGGGACTAGGGACCCTGGGTAACTATGATTCTTTAATTTAAGCAGTAAGTTTTAACAAGCTTTTGCTCTAAGTGTACTCTTATGATGATGGCAAGCCCAAGATCCAGTCTTGGAAAGTTATGCCTAAATACACAAAGGTGTTAATCTGTTCAAATAGTTCACCATCTAATTGCCATCTATGTCTCTGATCATGTTTTCCAAACATCATGATTTTTTATTTAGATTTACTAATGGTTAGGGAGTTGTCCTGGCAATAGGAGTAGAATCTTCTTAATAGCCTACGTAACCTTACTTATGAATACGACAATAAAATCATATAATCAGCATACAGCAAGCTATTACAGTATGTATTTAGGATCACAGGCAAGTGTACCATGGGATCCTTCATTAACCCTGGCAAGTCACTGATATATAAACTAAATATTAATGGGGGCAGGATACACTCTTGCCTTACCCCTTTATTTGTGTGAATCCTGTTAGTGAGAGCCCCATTAACCCCATACCATACCCTCAAACAGGTACTTGTGTAAAAGGCTTTAATCAAAGCCAGCAGTCTAGGTTCTATTTTAAGGGGCTATTTTCATTTTTACCAAATTCCAATATGTAATGTATTCCAGTCATGAACATTATAGCACCATGAGGTCAGTTGGAAATTAGAAATCAAATATAAATAAGTTTGCTGCAGGGGGTGAGAGAAGAAGCTGAGCTGGCTCCAGCTTTGCACAGCCAGTGCGCATTCCTTCAGTTGGCAGGTAGCTGTAAAAGGGCAAGAGGAGAAAGTGTTTTTCTGCACCTGTGCAGTGTTTGCCCCTTGCAAGGAACAGCCTGAGGTGTTGGCAGCAATCACTTCATGAGGAGAACCAGGCGTGGCCACCCATTATCGCTTTGGTCAAAGTAGGAACAAGTGGGTGGAGGGCAGCCAGGAGTTATTTCACAATTGTCCCAGTTCCTCTTATGGCTCCTTAGGAAAGTTAATTGCCCACTCCTGAGTTAGATCAAAACTGAAAACAAGCACTTTGTCCAGATGAATGAAAATATTTGAGGGGGAGGGGGAGGAGAAGAAGAAGAAGAAATAGGGGGAAATGCCAAATCCAACCTAAACATCTGTCCGACAGCCCATAATAATAATTGGCATTAACAAATTCTTCATTGGTCAATTGTAAAAGACAGCTTTATTCAGAACAGCTTACATTCTTTGGCAATATATCTAACATCATCAAACATGAAAATCAGCCTACCCCAAATACTTGGGAAGGATTGATAGTTAGACAAAAATGCCAAATCCAGTCTGGACATCTGGCTGATTGTGCAGTAAATCATAATAATGACAACAGTAATAACCACCTTAGAAGGCTGCTTGAGATAAATATATGAAATGTAATATTCACATTATCTCTACTATAATTTGCCAACCAAACAAACTAATCTATTTCAAATTCATACAAATTAATACAAATTAATACAAATTCATACTAAAGCATTTGGTTTGAATGCAGATGATTCTAAACAGTAGGAAATACAGATAGTCCTCAACTTACAACCACAATCATTTGAAGTTGTAACAACACTGAAAAATATGAATTATAATAGGTTCCCACACTTACAACCATCACAGCATCCCCCTAGTCACATGATCATAGTTCAGGTGTTTGGCAACTAGCATATATTTACAATAGTTGTGATCCCTGTTTGTGACCTTCCCAGTTGGCTTGAGGATGAATAGGCTGTGCTTTAGTAAAAAAAATGTGGATTTCTACACTAGATTATCTGTATTTAGTTGACATAATTCAGCCTAAAGGATTTTATTGGCACTTTACTGGATATAATCTGAGGTTTGTTTCTGGTAAACCATTTTTGATCTTAAAAATTTGGCAGAACTTCTGAAACATGAGGGTTTCATCCAGATTAGAAACCAAATGTATGTTCTATTTTATTTCTCAGTTATAGTCATAAGTTTCATAAGTTGAAAGGTGATCAAGAAAAAGCATTAAGTACCTAAACATAGAATAAATTATATACATTTCTAGTTAATGTATTTGTTAGTCTATGGGTTAGGATCTAGTGAATTAATATCTTATATGATAATCAAGCCAACAAAAACCTACCTCTTGCCGTTTGAAGTTCTGAACATATTCTTCAAATTGTTCATCTTTTGTTTCATCAGCTTTGCCTAGCTTCTGAAGCACCTGTAAGTGAAGAACAAGATAATTCATTGTTATTTTGAGCAGGTCTCATCAAATATCAGTGGAGTGATTATATTGTTTTGACATTATCGGTGCTTCATCTCATTTTGATGTTTTACTATTTTTTTCTCACCAATTTATATCACAATACTAATACAATAGAAGCTATTAAAAACACTCTCTAAGAAGAAAATATTGATTAATCATTTTATCTCCCTGTATCAATAGACTGTCAATGTTTTAAAAATTAGCAAGGGTCTTGGCATATTTTTTTGTAATAAATCTTTCTGTTGATGAATGAAATTTCTGTTGATGAATGAAAGGCAACACAATATAGAAAGATCTGACAGAATAATAAACCACTATGCCAGTCAGGATGTTGAAGACCAAACTTTATTAAGCTTTCTCTTATATGTTATGGTTCATTATTCCTGACAGTAATAACATTACTTCAATCTGTGTCTAATTTTAAACATATAGCAATAGAGAATCAGGAAAATAAATTGATTTGCCAGTTAATGAGATATGAAATCTTAAACATGAACTGACAAGTGAGTTTTGGGATTTATCACCCACGTTAATCTTCAAATATATTTAATGCAATACAAATATGTACAAAATCATTATGGCGAATATTTGCATTGCTCAGAAGTATGCTGAAGGGACCAAGATGCAGGATCTCAATTAAGTAAGGCATAACATCTGTGGGTGATTTTACAACACAGTGATAATAGTAGCACTTCATTAATGCACAAGTTGAAATAAAATGGAATGAGATTTGAAACAAGTGCAAAGCAAAACATACATCTTTCACCAGAAGGAGACTTCAAACTCCTTAGGCACTGAAGAGAGTTTGGCTCTGCTATTCATAGAATATTGTGAAGATGAGCTGTATATGAATCAGAGAAAATTGAAGCATGAACTTTCTAGATGGCAGATTTCAGTTACACTGTTTTAATGGAAGTGTGTAACTTCACACTTCCATTAAAACAGAAGAGCATTTAAAGCTTGTTCTGCAAACACTTATTCTAACCAATGCACCCTCACTCTGTTCTTTCTTGGCTGTTTTCCTTTTGAAGAAAAGAAGGTAGAAGAGAGAAAGAGCTGAAAGAGGTAAGAATATGTAGTGACATTTAAAAACCCAGGACAATCTTGAATTTAACAAGACTTAAGATTCAAATTTTAAATAATCTGGTTTTAAAATTCAATTGGAGATTATCCAAGATTTAATCGAAGTAAAAAAGAAGTTTTGATTGAGTTCTTTTTCTATATAAAAAGATGACAACAGCATGTGAGTAATGAGACTGTGTGCATGTGTGTAAATACGTGACACTCTCTCTCTCTCTTAAAAAAAAATCAACAGACAGTTTTCTGAAATAAAGAACTATAACAGAGGGCAAAGGGTGTGACATCTATGCTCCCTTCTTTAGGGGTATTATAGGTTGTACACAACTTAACAATCTTCATTTAGTGATCATTTGAAGTTGTAACAACATTGAAAAATTGTCTTACAATCAGTCATTGCATTTATTAGTCAGAGGTCATATGATCAAAATTTGGTTGCTTAGCAATTGACATGTATTTATAATAGATAAAGTATTCTGGGGTCGTATGATCACCATTTCCAACCTTTCTAGCTGACTTCAATCAACCAAAGTCAATGGAGAAAGCCAGATTCACTTAACAATCATGTGATTCACTTAATAGTGGTAAAAAGTAAAATTGGGCATGACTCATTTAACAACAGACTTTCTTAGCAACAGAAATTCTGTTTGCAATAAAGAACAACCTTATACTGTATTACAAAATATCATGTTGCACTATCACTATAATAAAATCTGGTTCTAGCTTTTGCATAGGGTGCATTCAAGATTTTTCTCTCCCTAGTTTTCTTCTTTTTGCAGTTCCAGTTGGATCAGTTATATATGCATCTTATATGTTAAATTCCATGAATTTAACTGCAATGATTGAATCTAGCTAACTTAATATAAGTTGCCATTTTGAGTAACTGGTTAATGAATAACAAAAGTAATATTTCAAAAGGATTGTGTCATAGATTTCAGGAATTATTGCTTGTCCTCACTTCATATACTTTAAGATCCCAATATTTACCAGTATCTCTGGTTAAAAATAAACTGGTTTTTTACTTTTGGATTTTATGTTTTTAAAAACATGTTTATAGTCAACTGTTGTTTATAAAATGTAAAGTTTTTACACCAGAAGCTATATCGATAAACTGTGGTACTGACTAGAAACAGGCCTGAACACAGAAATGGACATATTTAACAATATTATTGTTTTGATTTATATTCTATCTTTCAGGATGAACATTAAATATAATGCAAGCACAGAGCACTCAAAAGGGGTGCACACATATGGCTCCTCTTCAAAATTGTATATTCTGGAAGATGTCTGTATATGGACATAAAAACAATACTTCTGCTGGGTCTCAAATTCAAGTTGAAATGTTTGTCTATTTTTTTATAAATCAAGACTGAGATGGGTGAACAATAGATGATAGTATTATCTGTGGCCTCCTAGCTAGTGCTGCAGTTAATATTTTAGCATCTACATTAATGAAACATATCAATCTATAGCTTGCATACTTCATAGAGTGTTTATTAATATTAGCATAATATAAACCTCAAAAATAACCGAAATATGGAATATTAAATTATTGATTATAATCCTATTTTTCATTGGAACTAGTGATGGCTACCCTAACCCCTCAGGTCAGAACATGTCCAATATGCTACTGGGGAAGAGCAAAGGGCTAGTACTAGTAGCACCAGAAAAAGTGAAGCGACTGGGCAAAGCCGAAAGGACACTCAACTGTGGATGCATCTGGTGGTGAAAGGAAAGTCTGATGCTGTAAAAATCTATTCTCCATAGGAACCTAGAATGTAAGATCTAAGAATCAAGGCAAGCTGGACGTGGTGAAACAAGAGATGACAAGATTGAACATTGATATCTTAGGAATTAGTGAACTAAGATGGGTGAATTTAATTCAGATGACCATGAAATATACTACTGCGGGCAAGAATCCCTCAGAAGAAATTGAGTAGCCTTCGTAGTCAATAAAAGAGTAGGAAAATCAGTTATTACATGTATGATTAAATATGTCAGTCTTTTATTGTGTTTCCCTGCAATTATCCCTAATAAAAATAGTTCTCGTTTCAGGTCTATTTGCTGTTTTATCATCTCTTCTAGCCAATTCTTTATCTTCAAGCAATATTTTTTCACTGCCGGACAGGTCCACGACATGTGGTAGTAGGATCCCGACCTTTGTTTGCACTTCCAACATTTAGGTGACATATTTGGAAACATTTTTTGCCAATCTTGCTGGTGGCAAGTGCCATCTATAAAATATTCTGTATAGGTTCTCTTTGTACACTGTTGACAATGTTAATTTATAATTTCTCTCTGTTTTTGCCAGTTATCTAATTCTATGGTGTATCCAAATATTTTTGCCCAAGCAATCATTGTTTCTTTTACATATTCTTCTTCCATTTTAAAGTTCAATAGGTAATTATACATTTTATTAATTTTTCATCTGTTCCTAACAGTATTTTATCTAGTTCTTGGGGTTCCTTATAGAATCCATACATTCCTAAATCTTTCTTGTATCTCATTTGGATTTGGGTATATTGTCACCAGTCCAAATCAATTCTGTTTTTTAAAATTCCTGTTGATTTCAAACCTCCCTGTTTATTTTGTATGTATTTATATCTTATAATCTTACTGAGCTAAACATTAGGGTGTATTAATGCTTCCATCGTGGATAACCAGACCAGTATTTTCATATAATGGTTTTGTTTCATTTTTTCCCATATTGAGCATTTCTAGTATAGTGTTTTTGAAAATATCTGTGCGATTTATTTTTCCTGTACCATATGAATGCATGCCAACCCAGTTGTAGACCTTGTCCTTCTATCGTCAATATTTATTTTGTTTTTTTAATTTATCTACTCCTTCACCCATGTAAGAATTGAAGCCTGACATTACAGCTCCCAATCCAGGAGTCCAAACCCACCCTTGTTTTTCGTGTCTTGTAGCATTTTTCAGTAGTATATTCTGATATGCCATTTTTTTTTGGAACAGAAATTCCTATGTTCTTTTTGCAACATTTTGGTTTATAGTTAGGCTGCAGTTTTCATAGGCAGATGGCTGCTGATTGCAATTTGGAATAGGGAAGGGAAAAGAAAGTAAGTTTAGAAAGGTGTTAACTAACACTAAAAAAATAAGGATTTTTTTGATTTATTATTTAAAATATTGTAAAAAAAATAAAGACCATGGAACAATAAAAAAACACCAGTGACATTGTAAAGAACCAATTGTTTGGCATTTACAAGAAATAACTACAGCCAAGTTGAGAAATTTTTCAAAAGTTCCCCATTGTTTACATAAAAAATAAATAAGTTAGCATGGGTAGACGGGCTAATAAAGAATTAGTGAGCTTATCCCGTTTTACTCTGAATCAGTTTTTCAACTTCTTTGGTGTATAACTCTTGGATTTCTTAGTGATCTTCTTTCCATATAGTTAACAGATCCACCTATTCAGTCTTTTTGAGAGCTGCCAAGGTCTGCTACATGCTGATCCTTGCTGGATAGTAACATCTGCAGAAATGTAAGATTGCATTCTGGCATTATATTGTTGAAAAATCAGTTGAAATCAGCTAGGTCCTTTAGAACAAACATATGTATTTATTGAATAGGCTTATATCTCACTTCTCTTCCAGAAGCATAAGGCACCCTATAGAGAATCTCTCTTCCAATGTTTCTCCATAATATTTCTATGAAATAGGTTAGGCTCAGAAATAATGATTTCATCAAAACATTTATGTTTGGAAATGGAGTTGAACCTGATTCTTTCTTCTTTAATCCAATATTTAAATCACTAGTCTCCATGGACAGTTTTCCTAAAACAGCATTAGAGTCAGGTGATTTACTATATTATTATTACGGTTGATTTTTTAGACTACATTTGGTATTTTTTTCCATCA